TGTCTTTGAGCTTCTTGTCTGCTGTGGGGCTAGGGTGGCATTCGAGGTCATCCTCTAGATGTCCGTTGTTTTGCTTGCTTGCTGCTGCTTTGCTTGCTGCTGATTTGCTTGCTGCTGATTTGCTTGCTGCTGCTTTGCTTGCTGCTGCTTTGCTTTGCTTCGGAGCGGCTTTGGACTTTGGAGCAGTCTTGGCACAGGGCTTTGCCTTGCTGCTGGCCTTTTTCGGGGATGCTTTTGGTGCAGTCTTGTTGGCTGCTTTTGCTTTGGGCATTGGTTCAGCAGGCTTTGCCTCACTAGCGCTGTTCTTCCTCTGCTTTTTGTTGGGTGCTTTCTGTTCAACAGCTTCCCCTAGGCCCCGTTTCTTCATTACTTTGGCAGCTGCTGCATCTTCTTGGGCCTCCAGATGGAGACCACTGCAGTGTGCACATACACACATACAAAAACTGATCAAACAGAAAAATCAGGGCATCAATCAACCACATGCACCTCCCGAGCTGTCTTTCGAATCTTAGCTTGCTGGTCTGCCAAGTCCGGCATTTCTGCAGGAACCTTCCACATTACATATACGGATACATATTCGCACATGTGACACTTGGTCAAAACATGTGTACACACATCATCTCAACACTTGGCAAGGAAGAAGCTTACATGTATAGCACATGCCATATAACCGGATTCAATGTTTCACCAAACCCCACCTGTGGTACCTGTGCATCCAAATCCAATGGATCAGCCTTGCACGAGCGAATAAATATATTCCGCAAGGAGTTTCACCAAATACCACAGGAACAAACATCACATGTAAAACATTTACTCAATTCATTCTAGAAAGGATTGGGAAGGGGTGCCCTCTCCTCATTGTGGGGCTGGTTGTTATCAACAAGCTTTTCCCCATCAACCTAGCACATGTATGCATGATAGTTTAAAGCATTTGCACTGCATCTGCATGCAGGAAACACCCTAGAAGCACACCATGCCTTCTTCTCTGCACATGCGACAGGTGCAAGATCGGCCGCATCTTCTGGAGCCTTGAGGTCGGACAATTGGGTGGGACATTTAACTCGGGTCAACAGGATGGATGCCTTGCAAGCATTCAACTAACTAAATCTCCAGGGCCACCAATTCTTCTGGCCTGGCTGTCTTCAATATCGATATCATTTCCAGGTGGAGCCTCTGCAGAAGGAAGTCAAGAAAACTTCTATTTTTTGGCACATGGAGAAATATTTAATCTAACATTTAATCTAACTAGGTCTTGATGGGTCTGGCCTTCACTGCACCTGGCCATCTTTCAAAAAAAGCCCGTACTCGAATACGGAGGGGAACAAAAGGTTCTGGAGGATTGCAATGGCCCTGCAACAATGAGTTTTCAAGAGACCATGTCAGACAAAGGCCTGTAGCCCAATCTCTGCAGGCAATTCCCAGGGCACAGTCTGCATTCAAACACACATGTTAAGCCACACGGCACAAGTAAACCACTGTCCTGCATTTCATCCATGACTTGATCATGAGGATCAGCAGGAGGTTCCACCTACAGTCATTTGTGAAATTGGCTTTCATTGCTGCAGGGTTCCAAGCCAAAGAAAGATTTGTAGGCAGCACATGTGACATGACTGCCCATATGCAATCCCTCACCTGCGGAGGTGCCAGCTGCGAGTCTTCCACAGCCTGTCCACCACAAGGCAGGGATATGAAAGCTTGGGCATGGACTTGACTCAACACGCCAATAAAATTAGGTGCCTCCAAGTTCCTGTCCACTGGGCCGGCGTTATTGGCACCAATCTCACCCAAACCCTGCAAACAAATGAGGTTGGTTAAGTATGTAGTCACTATTCTAACATCAGGCCTCAGGTCCATTGGAGAGATCCAACTGGGAATCCTTGGCACGTTGTTCAATGGATTGGGAACAAGGAGCCCCACCACCACCACCACCACCACCACCACCAAAAAAGACATACACAATAGTGGCAACAAATTCTTTGGCCCAAGCTTCCACTGCATAGATGTTTGTTTCGGCAGGTGCCGGAAGAGGTTCCACAGCTTCAGCCTCCAATGGATTGGGAACAAGGACCCCCACCACCACCACAACAAAAACACACACACACACACAGACACTATACTGGCAAATTCTTTGGCCCAAGCTTCCACTGCATAGCTGTTTGGTTCGGTAGGCGCCGGAAGAGGTTGCACAGCTTCAGCCTCCAGTGCAAAATGAACCATCACTAATGTGCACCCGATGGAGCATGTGTGGCAGACATACGTACCTCAAGGCCCTTCTCAGTGCAAACATTGGTATCGACATCCTGCAGCATGAAGTCCAATTGGACCACAAGTGAGAGAACATGAGCAATCTATGGTTTGAGGGCCACACCTCTTCATCCTGATCAAGGTGAAAATAAAATACTACAACCATAAACCCAATCTGAATGACACTGGTGTCACAAGACCCAGTGTCACTGCCTTGATGGTCAACACCTCAAGTGGCACCTGAACACAAAAGATTTAAGCATCCGGATGGAGTTGCAACTTTCAATGACGGCAGGATTTGCCTGAATAATAGGCTCATCATCAAGATCAACCACAAGTGGGGCCACCTGCACCAACAAATCATGCCTAGGCTTAGACGTAGATGAGAGATTGCTGTGGCGAACCTTCTCCTCAGAATCGGGGTCTGCATCATCAACCTGACCATCCAGCATGCCATTCACCTACCAACAAGGTGAAAGACATTGCACATGTTTGCACCTTTTTAGGTTGCAACTGTAAGGGTTTTCAAACTTGCAGTTCGCCTGCTTGCAAAACCGAAAGTAGAGCGTCTTCAGAACTTGGATCTTCGGATTCCTGCCAGTAGCCCCCCTAGGCCTATTAGTGCACTTCCACCAATGACCAGCCTGCTGGTTGGTGATTTTTTGCATAGGTGATGCAAATGGCTGAGCATTTGGCGAAGCCTCGAGCTCTCCCGATTGGCCCAGTCCTCAAGAGTGTGGCAGATGGTGAGGAATGGCACCACTGGGAACAAGGACTTGGCATGCATGGCTCCTTGATCTTTCCTTTGCCACCACGGGTTTTGTACAGGTCATGGTGCCAGTTGTGAAGCAAAGTGGAAAGTAGGAATCCGGCCTTAGACCAATATATGTACATGTGTCTTCAACCTGTTGTTAATCATCACCAAGTACAAATGCCACCCCAGTGGGTCCAGATCGAGAGAAAGGGGGCCATATGATTGAAATGTGGGCTAATGGACCGGGGCAAAAACAAGCTGAAGTGCCGGCAAATATGTGCAGGCAAGGGGCTTCAAAATCCTTGACATGTGGAATGCCACCCGGCAACACTTCTCTAAGGGCAATGAGGAGTTCCTGAATGATGTAATAGTTCCTTTCCAGGTCATCCTCATAGACCTGAAGCAATATGGCATGATATGGATTGAAAAAGAATGAACAATATAATCCAATACAGAACGTCCACTTCATGGGTGCATAGGCCAGCCACCATTGCATTGACATGTGCTCTTTCCCAATCACAGACACTCCGCTCCTTGAATGTGGCAAGGTCACTTGACTTAAGAAACACAGTGGGGATCAAACTCAAGCTTGGATAGTGCATGAACCTTTGCATCAAAAGCACCGGGTCCGACATGACATCCGGCGAGCACTGTTCGACAAAGGCTTTGATACCAGTGTAGCATAGCTGGGCAATTGCCTGGGTATGGTTCAGCAACAGCTTTTCCCCAATTTTCATCAGTCGCTTGGAACATGCTTGCCAAAAAGGTTCCAACATAATTGCAATTTGGGTTTCACCCAGGCCACAAGCCACAAACTAGCCAAGTGCACACACATGCATAAACCCGTTTGTTTTCCTAGCCTTATATGGTTGTGCCCTTTTGCATATCAAGGAACCGATGCTCGAAATTTCATGGGAGATTGAATCAATCGAGCACCATCATCTCCCCGATGCTCAACAACAAGGGCTGCCATGTTGCCAGAGCCACTAAGGACACCGTGATGCGGTGATGGAGCCGTGCTGAGCCGTGCACAGCTACATAAGCACGCAGTCATGATGTTCTTCACCAACAGGAGTTGGTGTTGATTTGCAAGTGGGGTGACACACTACCACTTAGGTTTGTGTTGGTGTGATAGACGATGCTAGTGCACTACCCAATCCACATGTTTCCACACATCAAATCAGCAAAACAGGCCCTAGGGAGGCTAGAGGCACCTCTGAGTGCAGCTGCACGGAGCAAGCCCATGACAACAAAGGCGTAGGCAAAAACAAAAGACAGTTTCATGATGTCATGATGTCTCACATGATGTTGCAGAAATGCAACCATGATCAAACATGAACGGGTTCTCCGTGAACCTTGGCGAGAAAAAGCGACCTTCGAGCCAACTCTTCCTGAGAGAGGTCAGACCATTCTGAGGCAATCCTGGGCCCAGGTCCATTATTTGACCCTGTTTTCCCGATCACTCTCTGAGAGAGTACTTGGATCCTCAGGGAATGTATAATTCTATAGGTATAGTAATGGCACTAATTATGAGTTGAATATCAACAGTTGATATAACTATGAGTTGAATATTCTGATTATAATTTACTATTTCGACAAACATTGACAATTACAAAATGCAATGAAACAATAAACAGCAAAGGAACAAATACCAAAGAAGGCTATGTAAATGTCCAGAGATTCTTGGATAACAGAAATACGTGTATATATTATGGATGTGGATTTATATTGATATGAAAGGTGGACACCTTATGAACCATTTAACTTGTCAAAGAGTTTCGAACCTTGAATCCCACTCACTGGATAATATAGTGCCTCATTGTTGTAATTTGATGTAATTGCAGTTGTAAACAATGTCTTCTTGAAACCATATTCAAGGACAAAAAACACTTCTTCCCCTCCAAAACAACGGCAGAACACGGACGGAACACGCTGGACGGTGCTTCTTCGAACCGAAGCGAACCGGGGACAGACGCGCTAAACACGGTGCGCGGTGGACGGCCTCGAAGACACCGTTATCGATGGTGAGCAGTGAGACATCGAAGGTACCTCGGAGCAGCCGGGGGGGTCGAAGGTACCTCGCGGGGGGGAATTTCCTTGGTGTGTTCTTTCTTCTTTGGCGCTGAAAAAGAAGATTTGGAGCCGAAAAAAGGACGCGTCACGGCCCCTTAGACCAAGTATAGTATATCGGTATATCGCGCCAATTGCACGACATTGTAGAGTGCATAGTTTTGTTCCAGCTTCTTCAGTACGTGACCAATTATGGAGTCGCATGCACTGACCTGTCCAACAGGCCTGTAGGTGACCTCAAATCAGGGGATGGTTCAGTCACGCAAGAACCGGCTTAATGTACATGTGAAGGATACAGAAATTCATTTGGCCGAAGCCTGACTCCAACATGCAGGGAAAGGATAATATGGACCAGGACCGCGGGAAGCTTGGTGTTTGTGTGTATATAGCATATATTTTGAAGGTACTTGGAGGGTTCAGTGGATGGATCCAGGTAGTCGAGATGAGACCACGAGCAACAAGATTGCATGGCGCTCAACCATCATCCTGCATAGTCAACAAAGCACTGCAAATGCATCCTCAACCACGTATGTTCTTACCAGCATATCCCACCTTTTGTAAAATAAAACAAACTTGGTGTCTACCTATGTACTCTCCAGCATCATGCCCTTCATGCTGCATGTCCAGCTTGGCCACTGAGGAGTGGTCTGAGCAAAAAGTTGATATCTCAAAACTACATCGATGTGGTCGAAGTGTATTAAATATATGGGTAAACCCTTGAAAGATCGCCGTGGACGAAGGAAACATATCCAGCTTTGACAATACCTTGATCCCAAGACAAGGTCACGTAGTCACACTTTGGTGTGACCATGGTCGCCCTGAGCTTTTAGAGAAGTTTGCAAGCTAAGCTGGGAGAAGTCAGTGCTGGATCAAGTTGCAAAGCCGCAAAACGGATTAATTCGGGGTCTCCCTGTTAAAGTAATGGGCATTGACATACCAAGACTCCCCGGAACAGGAAACATTCGCAAAAAGCCCTTGGTTTGGAATAACACTGGCAAATTAGCAGCCACCGTCTTCTCTTCTGTGCTACTCAAGCTTCATCTATATATATATATATATATCAGAACGCTCCTGGCCAGGCTCTTTTGGAACCTATAACAATGGTTTCTGGTGTAACCAGAAAACATGTGTTGGAATGTGCTGGTATTGCGGTGGACTCGGAGAATAAGTAATTATATATGTGCGTTTGTTGATGTGCGTTTGTTGATTCGATGGCAGACGCATTGGACAGGAACAAGGGACCACAACTTGACACTTCTATGTTTGGTCCATTCCGGGTCTTGGGAAAGAGTAATTCATCGTGTTCTGGTTGTCCTTGGGACGCTGCTTATGCCAATAACTGATCTCACAGTACCAACCGAGCTGTGATAGGGAGCTGTGATCAGTCAGTCTTGAGGACGCCATCCGCTGCGTTTCCGGCTGCGTTGGGTTTCTCCAGGCAGGCTCTGCCACGTTCACACTGCTTCGCCGTTCACATCGAGGTTCGTCCAGTTCGTCCACGCTGATTCCTCTGGGCCAGCTGAACCCAAGCACAGTCAGCCATGCGCATCTGGTGGTCCACGCCTGAACGTCGTGCGCTGACTGGTCTCCATCTTCATGTCGAGGCGTCTTCACCAGCTGGTCATGGTCTGAAAGCGCCATGGTGGGGGGGTGCAATCAAACAACTGCGCCATGGACTGAATCACCACACACCTTCAGGACCTTCAGCAGTTCCACACGGTTCACCCGTGCGGTTTGGATCCGTTGCGGAGGATGGTCCGCAATCGCATGGTCCCATTGCTAACGCCCTGCGACGTTTCGGTCGACCCCGGGAGTCCCCATATGGAGGAACCAGTCTCATTGAAATATATCGATCACCATGGTGTTCCATGAAGTTCACCATGGTATGACCTACTGGGACCTACGGATTGGTGTTAATCGCGTACCACCCCATTTGATCCCTTTTCAACCATTCAATGTATATATTATATAGAGGTATACCTACCATGGAGTTTTGGTGGGGTGTGTTTAGTCCCATCCAGTGAGTGGATGTGACAAGGGCACCCTTAATATAAGCCCTTTGAAACTGCAACATGTTTGCTCAGTTGGAAGATCTAGGCATATTATTCAACCCCATGGAGGATCTCTGTTTGTGTCCGCGAAACTTCAGATTGGTGTTCGACTTGGGGGCTCAGCTGACGCTCAGGAAACGGTATGGGAGACCAGCCAGTCTGAGACGACCCACGCATAGCTTGCTCCACCAAGATACCACCACCCAGATCATAGACCAAGATGTTCCTTAGCTGTCGCAGCTCTCAAGTCGAGACACAATCAACATCGTAAGCTGCAAACATCTGCAAACCCATGTATACGCATGATATTTTGAGCGACCCATGGTTGATATTTTTAGCGACCCATGTTTGCTGTTAGTTAGGGTCCGGGTACCTCCTGAGGATGGTCTTGGAGGTGAGTACGTACGAAACCAGAGAATGGTCGTTGCCGGGGGGTCTGGACATCCGAATCGGATGGTCCTGGAGCCTTAGGGTATGTCTTCAGCTATCCCCCAAAAGCGATTTGGACATGTTCTTCATCCAAAACCCACGGAGAGCGGACGGATCGAAGCTCGAAAACGCGGAGAGGGGACCCCAACGAGTCGTCCTGCGTTTCGGACCCGTATGAGGTGGTTGGGCTGCGTTCGCCAGCCAGGCCGCTGTCCAAACTCTGGAAGGCCACAGGTGACGTTCCCGACTGCCCAGGTGATGCCAACTGATTCACATGGTGAGCTGGTCGCATGAGGTAGTTACCTGAAATCTGGATGAAGACGACCCTTATGTTGCTCAACCTTTGGCCATGCCACAAAAGGGTCGACCCTTGAACCTCTTCGCCGAATCGGGAGGCCCAGCACGCTATGGCTGGGACGCAAACACGCGACCGGCGGACGAAGGATCTTGTGGCGATCCCAAGGATCTTCTCAGTCTTCTTGTCCAAGCCATAAGCGATCGCAGCGGCCGTCGGCTCGTTGATGATTCTCAACACCTGACAGAAACTCTTCTCAAAACAAAGGAGTCACAGAGCTCGGGGTGGTGTGAAAAGTCTGGGAGTGGATGTGACGCTCGGGCACCCCGACTACCTCCATGGATAGCACCCCATTGAAACTTATGATACATATTATTGCTTTGGGTCTTAATCTCATAACATCTCATAACCATTGACAGTGGATTATGATGATGATAATGATTAGTGAAGTCCTTTCTCAAAACTATAGTGATCCTCTTTTACCGACGACAACAATACTACTGGCAAATACTAGGACAAAAAAACAAAGTGCAGTAGCGAAGTGAAGGAAGGCCCTCAGACTTCTCTGGTCCGCCTGGTATCATCCCAAACATCGTCACCCACCAGAACTGGCGAGCAGAAAGGCCGGACCAAACGACTGGGGCCCTGCGACCCGAACCGGGATCCCATGGACGCTCGAAGTCGCAGGTACGAACGAGACCAGTCCCGGGACCGTCCCATCGGCGCCGCCCTTTTGAGAACGCGGCATTCATTCCGGAGATGGTGCCCGCATCCTTGGTGGACTGCCGCTGGGCATCGTTGAAGTAGGCCTCGGACGAAGCAGCTCGGTGGGTTTGGGTGTGTAGAAACCTGTTTCGCACAAGTCTTCCGAAAGCATGACCTGGACCTGGAGCTTCAAACGGCTCAAAGGTTTTGCCGGAGGCATTTTGTGGTGAAAAAACATGGTAATCAAACAAGAGCGTTCAAATTTGAAAACATGTGCTCAAAATCCATGGATGGGAAAAACGCCCTGATTGGACGCCTAAAGACGCCTAAACACGTTGTTGTTTTTTGCTTCTCTCTCCTCAATACCACAAAATTTCCCGCTTTCTGTCTTTTCACAGCAAAGAACATCCTCTTTGCGAAAAGACACAAAGGCAATCAAAATTGCTTGTGCCGCTTGGAAGATCCAGGTATTCCCAAATATGCACAGGGTATATACGTCTTTAATATCCTGTTCGAATTCGCGAACCCCCTGCCAACCATGCACCTCTTTGACGCACCTTTCATGGTTGCCAATGCACGTTTCATCCTTGCCAAAACCATATCACTTGGATTCCAACGCGAGTGACAAGTGCCACGTGTTCTCACGTGATCAAAGCCAAAAGCAAGCTGAGCCTGCTGGGTGTCCCCGTCGATGCAGCAGTTCCAGTGCTCGGGTTAACCATGAAACCATGAACATGGGCCATTCTGCCAAACCCCCAAACGCCAGCTGCGCGAGGTCTGTGTGAGAAACTGATCCCCGGCACGATGTGTCATGTCCCACGTGTCCTAAGGTCATGTCCTCACTCATCACTCATCTTCTCTCTATCCGGGAGAAGGGTGTCCCACACCCCGCCATCCTTCAAACCATGCTACTCATCCCACACTCATCTCACTTGACTCCCTCCCCGTTGACGCGAGCGAACCTGTCGCTGTCGGACACAGATCGAGATCCGAGACGCCACCGGCTCGGACCAAACACCAAAACCAAACGCCCAAGACGCTGGTACCGTGACCACGGCATGCTTCACCTCCTTTCCTGCAGAGCGAGGATTTACATCGGCAAAGGCTGAGAGGTAGACCGTCTAGTAACGCATATATAGTAGTGCTGAGGAATCTATAGGCTCAAAAAAATGGCCAAAGAATATCTGGGTGCAAGTAATGACCCGTTTTGATTAGGGTCATGTTCCAGTTCGTTTCTATAGAGTACTTTGGAGGGTCTATATACCTGGTAAGCGAAGAACCTACAAATTTGTGGGATGGAAAACAGGAACCAGGGTTTCAGCCAACTTTAGAGCAAAACCAGGGTTTGCTGAGGAAAGCCAGGTTCTGGCATGGCTCCAGCAAATTGAAGCATTCCAAGGCACATATAGAGACTTAAGACAGAAGATTCCAAGTGTGTGCTTGTTTTTTGTAGAATAACATTGCATAAAATTGCATTGGCATCATTTTTGTGAGTATATTCGTTGATCCTCCTTTGCTTGACGCATCATGAGCGCAGCTATTGATATGCACAAGGAGCCAGGATCTCAGAGCTCCATTTGGTGCTCCTGATCTTATTTCACCTCCAAGTTGTGCTGTTTGCTCAGTCTTTGATCAATCATTGCCATTTTGTGGTGACTCCGCAGCCACATTTTGACCATTACCGAAGGGGTGAGTCTCGTTCTAGCCGTAGATTGGGTTCCTTCACATGTCGTTCCGGAGAAGCCGTCATGAGAAGAAGGATGACGCGCCTGTCGATGTGACAGGTGCTTCCCACATTTGGGATTCGGTGGAGGATTTGCGGCGACCACTGAGGGCTGGGAAGGGGCTCTTGCATGAAAAAACAGGTGATGGGTGTGACAATGCCACGTGCATTCTCAATGCCACCTTGTTGGAGCCCCTTCTGCGCATGATGTTCGACCAGAACCACATGAAGCTCCCAGAGGTAGACCAGCTACGAGACGAGATCTTGCGCGTGTACGAGTTGAATGGCCAAAATGTAGGTGATGATCAGCTAGCCAAGGATTCGTGGACTATTAAGAAGCATCTAGGGCATGTCAAGCGAAAGGCTCGTAGAAGAGAGTTGCCCAGGGACCCTCAGTTGATTTTATAGACTTGTGTTGCATTTTGGTTCCCCGGCCGTGTCCCATTCCATCCATGATCTCCAATCCGTTCTCGCATCAAGGACAAGACATTTCAGAGGCTCTGCATTGTGCTCAACCCGATGTTGGAGGAAAGGTGGTAGTGCACGAATGATGAAGTCAATATGTAGATGATCAATAGAGTTTGTTTCACACCCTTAAATCGTGAGGAGATCGCTGATGCCATCAATCGCAAACATGGTGATGCTTCAGAGGCGGGGAGAATTAAAGAGATCATTTTGTTTCAAAAAGCACTTTGCTTGCTTGGGCCTCTCAAAGAGTCCTCAGTTGCCAGGATGATACCACAGATTCGGACAATGGCGATGATGCAAGCCCTAGGCGTGCCCGAGATGTAGTTCCGCCAGTGATTGAAATCAAGGAGGAATGTATGGAATCTGAGATGCCCAAAGCTCCTGTAGAACCAGAGATCCTCCATGATTCCCAAGCTCCTTTTACTCAAGAGGGTCAAGTCCATGATTCCCAAGCTCCTTTTACTCCAGAGGGTCAAGTTGCCGGCGACTTAGCTCAACCTGCTGGCGGCAAAGTGGAGTCAGATGAACGGCATCACCCAGAAGCCTGTCCAGAGCCAAAAGCTCCGATTGTCTCCCCGGATGCGGCTGCTATTTCGACTGCTGGTGATTAACCTTTGTTTATGTAATTTTTGTGGTGGGGAATGTGAGTTTGCAATGGAACAACGTGAGTCTCACTATTCATTCTATTCTGTTTGCGCCGTTAGCATTTGAGGTGAACAGGCAAGCTCCGAAGAAGTTGGGGCTGACACCGACTCCATCCGCCAGAAGCTTGAAGAGAAGAAGGTGCAGCTTCAAAGGCGGGAAGCCTACTGATCTTCTCTAAGTGGATCACTGGTTTAGTTGGAGTGCACTGCATCTTAAATCATATAGGATAAACATATGACACCAACCGACTACTCAGGCTTCGTGAGCGAAGAGCAGCTGAGCCCAAGCCTTTGGAGACTACACGATGTTCTGAGCCCAATCCATTGGGAACTACAGGCTGCACCAGCATCCAAAGTCAAGTTGTTCAGGTATCCTTTGCATTCTTTGTTACTTTAGTTGTTGCCACCCCTCTCTTGCTGTCCACCGCAGGAGCGCAAGTTCGGGACACTGATGAGACTCAGGCCATGACGACGTCTCCAAAAGTTCCGTCTGCAGAAGAGCTGAGTGTTCCTGTTTCCCCATCAATTGATCCTGAAGCACGTCGAGAGAAGTACCAGGGGCAAAGGGTTAAGGGTGTACCCACTGCGTGCAAGGCCAAGGCCGCCAAAACTGTTACCAAAGTTTTGGGGGAAGAATCTGATGCAAGTGCTGCACAAGCACAGCCAAAGGCGTCAGCTGAGCAGCAGGCCCCCAAACAGCTGGATGAGTCAAAAGAAGCAGTTCTGCGTGATCAGTTGAAACAAAATCCCAAAAGGAAACAGAAAAAGGGTCGCAGAGCGCTGAAAAAGGTGAAGAAGGCCAAGGGAGCCAAGGCAAGAAAGTCAGGTGTGTCAGCCAAGCCTCGCAAGCCTCGCACTGCGCAGGCTTCAGGTAGCACAGAGTCAGTGAAAAAGATTAGGAATGGGGGTGGCAAAAACGGGAAGGGCAAAGGACGAGCAGAGAAGAAATCAAACACCGGTCAAAAACGATCGCGTGTTGAGGTTGCAGAGGGTGGGGTGAGCAAGAGCTCCAAACGCAAGGCCACAAAGGCCAAGCAGGTGGATGAACCATCTTCCCCTGCAAGGAACCCACCATTGGTGTTTACCGATGGTGCTCTTTCCCCATCGGCGCACCAGTGTCTCATGGAAGTGTTGGTGGGCCTGTGTCAGAGGATTGACACCTCGGCTCCCCTAGAAGATTTCAAGAAGATGTTGAAAGCAGAGCTTGTTTATCCAAAGGGTGTATTCAGGCCCAACATCTATTGGCACAGGCAGTCTTGCGGTCTCACAGTCGTTGCGGCAAAGAAGGATGTCTTTAATTTGTCTTTTCCCGACATGCCCGACAGTGAAGATTACCACCGGACAGCGGTCGCAGCTTCTCTTGCAACCATCATGGCCACTTGACTTCGTACGCTCTTACTTTTTAGGATTGTCCATCGTGCGTGATTGGAAGATATGTGCCCCTTCAGAGTCCGAGCGTTTGTGAAATGAGGCTTCCCACATGAACAAGGCCGGCATGTCAGAAGTTGACCCCGATGAGCTGTCCTCCTTGAAGGACATTGGTCGCTCTGCATTGGCAGCTGCTGCGGATGCATAATAATGAGTTTGTCGCCTGAGGGGGCTGAACAGGTCGATGAGCCTGTTGGCAAATATAGTTTTGGGGACGGTGGGTTTTTCAATCGACTCACTGTTGCACATTGTTGCACTGCACAGCAGGTAACAGGCAGTACATACCTCAGGATACCTCATGTGATCAAGACATTAGGTTTTTGTTGTTTGCTTTGCGCCAGCTGTGCCAAGGGCCAAAGGTTTCCACTGATCGCGTTTCAAACAGGGGCATTGGAGCTGCAGCTAGGAAGAAAACATGTGCATCCTGCGGTGACTCTTGAACCCCATGCAGATTGATAGCGGCCTGCCCAGGCCGTCTTTTTTGTGTCTTAGATTGTGGTCCGCCCAGGCCAGAATGCCTGCTCGGCGTGGGATCCGTGGGAACCTTTGGCGAGTACGCCTCGGCCAGACTAAGAAGAAACGTCGTGCTGGCTAAATTGATTTCTGTTCCGGATTGGGCCTGCTGAGTTCAGAGTGGGACGCACTGTTTGATTGCACCGCAAGATCCTGCAGCGTTTCCAAAACTCCAGCCTGAGTGGGGCAGTTCTATCGATCACCTGCAATGGCTATTGCAAATATGGACGTATTGTTTTGGGACTTGAAAGAGTTGGGGGCCCCGAAAGCAGCGTGGCTAAAGTTGCATGTGTTCAGCTGCGTCAAGGTTTCACCTGCACTTGCAATCCGACTTTGATGATCGATGTTCGGGTATGGTAGGGTTGTTAATGGTGCAGCTTTGAAGGTGTTGCTGCTGATTGCACTCATTTTCTTCACAGAAGACCTCTATGATTTGGAGCAGGCTTGTATATATCGAACCCAACTCACAAAGTCTTCCGTGCAAATCCTTACAACACCTATTCCGTGAAACATGGGAGGAATACGACGTGTTGGAGTTCTATGCTGGCAAGGCCAATATCACACGGGCCATGAGGAGAGGACGAAAGAAGTGTGGCCGGTTTGACTTTTTGTATGACAAGGCTAACTTGTTGCCTGGTCGGAAACGTCTACGGAAACGATCAAGTGCCATGGACATCAACTCACCAGCTGGCCTAGTGCCACTAGACTTGAGCAGTGGTTTGCAACAATCATTATATATCGTGGCTTTGCTTCTTCCAAGTGCTTCAACCATCTGCAATATAATAGTATATTGGTTGCCTAGGCTGGCGCTGGTATATTTGATGAAAGGCAAGAGCCAATCCGGCTTTTTGGCATTTTTTGCCATCAAGTGCGCTTCATGGACACTCATTAACCAAGCTACAAGCGGTCGGTCGATTTGTGCTTCAACCGGCTTCCGGCAGCATGAGTCCGTTCAGCAGTCAAACACAATGTGCGCAAGGACTGTTGGAGACAAATGTTGACAGATGTTGACGCATGCACAGAAACCTATTCAGAATCGAGTGCAAAAAACAACCTGTCTATAGTGGACTTCCAATTGATTTCATTCTGCCAGGACATCCGTCCTCATTTTGGTATGCTGTGCCCTCCAAGGAACGTGGTTTTTGGAACAGCCCCGGGGGAGCTGCTTGGAGTATTTTCCAATTTACCGGTGGTCCATGAACCAGCAGATCCGTGTGTTTGGACTGAAGGCCGTGCCTCATCTCTTGCTAGAGCTGTCTTTTCAACAATAGTGTGTGTGGTGTAGGTTGATGTTGGGTG